TCCAGGCACTATTGTAGGCACTAGTGATGATAAAGATGGATAAGGCGTAGACTCTGCCCTCAAGAGTAATTTATCTTGCCAGCATGGGCTGGTAGCCAGAGTTGAAAGCCCATATATTTGATATGCTTCTTTCTGATTAAGACAGGGACGCAGTTCCTGGGAATATACTTCCCAGCCAATAGTGTAAGCACTGTGACAGAAGCACATTAATTTTACTAACTCTATTCGAAGTACACCAAATAAATTTACAGGCCCAAAACCCACAAAAATAGCCTGGGTGGCCTGAAGATAGCAAAATGAGAGTCGAAGAAATGTTGAGCATATGGACTTCCTCCTTAGAGATGCGACAAAGTATTCCTTAGGTACTTCGAATTAAAAAATAAATTTCTCCTTTGGGTATAAGCCAAATTATATTCATATATATTCCAAATTATATCCATAGTTTATAAGATAATTTGGCTACTATTGGGCTTACTATTATAAATAAACAAGCATAGGGGCCAGCAGATGGTGTGATGGTTAAGGTGCTAGACTCCCACATGGCCAACTGTGGTTTGAGTCCTGGACCTGGTGTCTTGCTTTCCCACCTTTGTTTTCTTTCTCTCTCTGTCTCTTTCTGGTCAAATTTTTTTAAAAACAGCAAATAAAATTAAATAAATAAAATAATTTTTAAAAATAAATAAGCATAATCCTTTGTAGACAATCCAGAGGAAGTGAATTTAGTGATATAGTTCTTTTTCCTTAATTTTTATGTCTGGAACTAAGTAGAATTAATGCTCCAACATCACAAATAATCGGGAACCATTAATCACCCAGGGAGAGAGCATGAGGAACTAAGTGTTATCTTTAAAATGTGCTCCTCCAAAACCTTCACTCTCTTTGACTGATTGAAGAATCAAAATGGTGGCTGTCAACCATACTTAGTTGCCAGCTGCTCTCGGGTAGGCGGGATCAGCTTGCTGGCAGGGAGGCAAGGAAGGGTTCAAGTGCAGAGATGGGATTACCCTCCCACCACCTTGGCCTTGAGTAAGCTACCTTTGTTGTCATGCCAGACTCTCAGCTTACAGAGGTGGCCCAGGCTCAGCATGTCGGGGAAGCTGAATGTGTCCGTGTTGTTCCGCTCAAACTTGTTCCAGTTGGCCGACTGCTTCAGGGCAAGGGTCCCACTGTCTCCGTTCTCCCCGAAGATGATAATGAACACATTGGCATCAGTGCCTGCTCCTGGAGAGTGCACAAGACAAAGCTCTGTGTGCCAGCCTCTCTGACACACACCCCCTCTTGCTACAAACTTGTTCCTGAACTCCTAGGAGGAGCCGGGGGTGCAGGTGAACAGAATTTAGAATCAACCAGGCCAGGGATAAGGTAAAAAAAGGGCCAGTTTATGTCCTAGAACTCCAGGGTTTCTTTCTTTTTCTTTTTTTTTTTTTTTTTTTTAAGAATTATTTTATTGAGAACCAGCAGTTAGCGTAATGGCTATGTCGCTGGACTCCCATGTAGTCAACCACGGTTTGCGCCCCGGACCCGGTGGCTTAAAACTCACGCCAGGTGCGTGTGCGTGCGTGCCCAAGATCCCGAGAGGAGAATGGAGGAGAAGAGATTGTGGCGTGACCATCCCCCCTGGGGGGTGATTTCTTGCTTTCTGTCTCTATGTCTCTGTCTGTCTGGCGAGCGCACGTGCCCTATAGCAAAAAACCTCTCAAAAAAAAAAGAATTATTTTATTTAACTTTATTTATTTATTCATTTATTTTAATCTGACCAGAGAGAGAGAGAGAGTGAGAAAGCAAGCTGCCAGGTCCAGAACTCAAACTGTGGTCGGCCATGTGGGAATCCAGTGCCCTTAAGCACTATGCCACCTGCTAGCCCCGAACTCCAGGGTTTCTAACTCTATCTTTCACCTTATCGTTGTGCCTTGCGAATGCTGTTGGTCTAACTGGAGTCTTAGCAAGTGTCAGTGGTTTCATACATAAACTCATCTCTTTCTGGAGAATATTCCCAAATTTAAGTCATGTCATGTAGACTGGCTTTACAGTTTAGAAATGCAGACTACCTCCTGCACATTGTGAGTTCAGAGAGAAGAAGGAAAGTCCTATGCTCCCTAAATCTACCTGATTGACATTCTACACTAGAGAGCTTCGTATTACGTAGGCTAAATAGAGGTATTAACCCTACTTAAAAACCAAATGCAGACTAGTTGGTGGTGTGGTGGTTAAAGCAGTTGGATTCCATATAGCTGACTGTGCAGTTTGAGTCCTGGACCTGGTGGCTTGAAAAACATGCCGGGCACATGTATGCTCAAAATTCCAACAGGAGGGAGAGGTGGAAGAGAAGAGACTGCAGTGTGACCATCCCCCACTGGGGGTGCTTTCTCAGTTTCTCTCTCTCTCACTCTCTCTTCTCTGATGAATACATGCACCCACTAGAAAATTAAAAAAAAAATTAAATGCTTTTGGAAGAGGTGACCCTGTAAAACTTTTCTGACTCATACCTGCTGTTTCAATGAATTTAACATTTATTTCCTGGGATTGTATCATGAGGGCATGGAGGGGCCTGAAAGCAAGTGGACACTTGGAACTTTAAGCAAAAAGTATCAAGGCTCCACCATGAGGAGAAAAAGAAGTAAGGAAGTTCCCCAAACAAACTACTCGCCTAAGATCCTACCACGAGAAACTCATTTCTCTGGCTAAATGTAATCTACCATGGCAATATGTTTATCTTTCACTAGCCATTTCCAACCAATGCGGTTGCGTTTTCTAGATTCCATGCCATGGATCCTAAAGAGCAGGCTTGGTAGAGAGGAGGAGGAGGAGGAGGAGATGTTGCCTCCAAGGGCAAATGAGGTGTGTTCCTGCTCAGCCCCTGGCTTTGCCACACCAAGTCTCTTGCTTAGAAGTCTTTCTCTGGATGTCCCCATTTACCCAAGTGACTTGTTTGTCTTTCTGGATTTGATTTTGGCATCACTTCTAGGATGCCCTCCATGACCCTCACTCTGGATCCCCAAGTAGGTAAGAACTCCCCTCTGGTTCCTCAGCAGCACCCTGTGCCAACACCTGTCAGAATCTCACCACAGCATACTGTGCTTACCCTACTAGCATGACAGGCTTGCAGGGCCTGGAGGTTATGGCTTTATCCTAAGAGCAAGGCCAGAGCTGGCACACAGTAAGTGATCAAGCACATGGATGTGAGAAGGAACCTGAGGGCACCTGGATGCATGGCACTGGGTGAGAGGCATAGGGCATGCTGCAGCAGGAAGATGGAAGGGCTCTGAGTTACGCTCCTGCACCATTTTCAAAAAGGTTCCAATGACATTTTCCCCCATTTTCCAAAGGAAGCAGAGAAGGAATCAATTCAATCATTGGGAAGAAGTACTTTGTCCAGACAAAAATGACACTATGAGAAGGACTTGCATTGACTAGCTTTTGGAAGGCCACTGGAAGAAAAATACCCTGAGCCAGAATTTGGGGGTGGGGAATGTTGGGTGTTGGGAAGGGAAGGGACCTCAACCCACCCAAGATATCGCTGGTCTTAACTGAGACGGTATAGGAAGTCCACTCCATCATCTCCTCCCCATCGATGACAGCACATATTTCACACACCAGGGTTTTTTTGCCCTTCCGCTGGGACAGCCAGTCCCCGTAGTAGAACATGGTCAGATCTCCAGTATTCATGTTCTTCAAAAGGATCTGTGGAGAGGAAACTTATATAGAGACATCCTCCCTCACCCCCACAAGCTCTACCTGCCAGTGCAGCCGCCTCGACTGAACCCCAACAACCCAAGATCCCAACCCTGTGAGAAGCTTGTATGACTGAGACTTGAGGAGTGTGGAAAGGGCCTGCATCTTGAGGACAAAGACCTGCACAGAGTCCAATATTCCCACAGTGATGAACCATGCTTGGGGATTTGGGAATTGCAAGTCATCTGATAATATCCTCTGAGAGGGACTTATCATTGTGCACAAGAAAGGTTTGCTAAATGAGTCACAGAAAACAGACCAACCAAGCCACCATCAGCTACAATCATCTAGGAGCAGTGTGTGACATTTTGCCAGATGGTCCTTGGTGTGGGCACCATGTTGTTGGCTTGAGGAACACCTGCTAGTGGCTGACCAGGGAAGGAATAGCCTGAGGAGGCTCAGGACATATGGCCTTTGGTGGGTGAGGGATGTGAGGGCTGACTCAGGCTGGGAACAGAAGTCATGGTGTTAGGGGCTGACTTGTGCCCCCCCCTCCAAATCATATATTGCATTCCTCACCCACAGTCTCCCTGAATGTGACCTTATTTAGCAATAGGGTGGTTAGGGTCAGCTGATGGTGTGCTGGTTGGGGCAGCTGGATCCCACATGGCCAACTATGTTGTTTGGTTCCACACCCAGTGGTTTAAGAGAGAGACATGCTGGGCACGTGTATATGTGTCCTGAGGGGAAAGGTGGAATTAAGGAAATTGTAGTGTGTCCATCCCTTTGAAAGGTGCTTTCTCACTTTATCCTCTCTCTTTCTAGCAAGCACATTCACTCTCTAGCAAAAAATAAAAAATAGGGTGGTTACAGTTATAAGCAGCTAAGGTGAGGTCATTATGGTGGGCTCTAATTAGGGTGTCCTTATTATACCTCACACCATAGGGAATGTGGGTACAGAGACATGTACAATGAAGATTGGAGTGATGCTGCCATAGGCCAAAGAGCTACTAGAAGCTCAGAGAGATGCCTGGAACAGACCCTTCCCCAAGCTCTCAGAGGGAGCATGGCCTTGCTGATGCCTTGACATTGGACTTCTACCCTCCAGAGCAGTGAGATGAAAACTGTGTGTGGTTGTAAGCTCCCAGCCCATGGTACTTTGTTATGGCTGTGAAGACGCTGAACTAACACACCCCGTACAAGGAGGCCAGCACCACACATGATGGAGAGCCTGGGGCCACATGCTGACACCAAGGCCATGATTATGGGTGTGCCATCTATGTCATCATGGCCATTGTCTTAGCTGTGATTGTGGGCTACAGGCCAGGCTCATCTTGGCTGCCAGGGTCCTCCATTATGGGGACACACTTAGCATGGATAGCACTCTGGACTCCTAACATCACCTTAGTGGCCATCAAAACATTCCTCAAGGCCCCACACTCTTGGAAACTCTCCTCTCCACTCTGGAACAGTGAGTGTTAATAACCTTCCTCTGGGCAGCCAGGTCTGATGAAGGTGGGGAAGGTGAGAATCTATGAAAGAGGGGTCCTAAGAAGGACCAGCTGCCTTATTTTCTTGGTAGAAACTGAGTCTGTGATTGTGTGTGCATCCATGTGTGTGCATGCATGTGCCCTGGAGAGAGGGGAAAATGGAGGCAGAACTATGAAAGTCTATTCTGCTGTTGCCCCTTGAAGATCCCAGCATCTCAACCCCAAGGCTGGTTTCAGCCCAACTGGGAGTTCAAGATCCAGGCTCCCTGGTGGCTGGCCTCAGACTCCTGCCATGGCAGAGGGTGGAGCCCAAGATGGAAAAAGAGGAAGCTGGCTAACTGAGTGGTCACTGGGTGCAAAAAGTTCCCCTGCCGTCTTGCCTGTAGTGAGAGCCTCTCTGCCCTGTTCATGGTTGCACCTTTTTCAGTCCTCCCCAGCTCACGTCCTGGACAAAATCTATGCAAGCCTCCCCATTCTCCGTCTCCATTCACACTACATTGACAGTTCATGCATATTATTCTCTGGTAGTTGATTCAATTTTGATCGGGTGAATTGAATTCAGAATCGAATCAACTACCAGAGAATAATATGCATGAGCTGCCAATGCATTAATAGTGCAAATAATAAAACTATTAATATTTCCTCTGATTAATTCACATCAAAGGACATACTGGATTATATAGGTTGGGTTTATGCTACAACCCTCTCCGAGGATGCTTGTTCTTTAATAAGGGCTGCTGACAACCCAGAAGAGCAGGGAGAAGGTGTGGGCTCTGATTGGAAGGGAGCATGAAGTCCAGATAGTTTACCCTCTCCAGGAACCACTCGGGCCGGCTGCCCAGGCCATCAATCCGGATTCGCATCTTGGTGAATGGAGCAATGTCTAAGATCTCCATAATGAAGGTGTCATTTTGCTCCCGCTCAAACCTGGGGGTGGAGAGAAGGGGGTATTAAGAAGTGAACCTGGGGGCAGAAGATGGTGCATTGCTTAAGGAGTTGGACACTCCCACATAGCTGACTATGTATGGTTCAAGTCCCAGGCCTGGTGACTTACTTTCTCTCTTTCTTTCTTTATCTCTGGTGAATTAAAAATATTAATAATAAGTAAATTAATTAAGTTAAATAAATAATTCTTTTTTTTTTTTTAAAAGAAGTGAACTTGGCCACGGGAAGCACTGGGCATGCCAGAGACTAGTTTTGGGGCAAGGAAAGAAGATGAGACTTTTACTTAGTCCCCTTTTCTGCTCCCAACAACTCTCCAACACATTGTCTCTTGCATGCCAGATGAGCTCTAGAAATACTGGCTTAAGTGGGTTTGGCTGATAGAGATGACCCTGAACCAAGAGCTGACAGTTCTGGGCTCTAACCTTGTCCTGCTAGTCTCACCTAGAATAGTCCCAGCTCCTCCCTGGAATTTGGCGTCCTCACCTGTCGGCTAGGGAGAACGATCCTAGCCCTGCGATCTCATGAAACTGTCAGGAGAACAAATGGATGTGGAGTCAATTTAAAATGCAAAAAGAATCCCATGAGGGTCAGAGTGACAGGGCCATCGTGAATAGTGGAGCAGGTTGTGCACTGTACAACGTGGGATAGCCCCATTTATATTTTCCTACAAGCAATCTGCACAAAGGAACGAGTGCAGCAGCCCCAGATTGGGCGATGCTACTGACAACTGTAAAGCGACAGGCACATAGAAGGTAATGTTGCTTTGCTGCTATTACTACTTCTCTGCAGTGACTTCATCATGTCAGAGGTGCCTTATCTCTATTCCTTACTGCTCTTCCTACAGTGCTGCATGTACAATGCGACCTTCAATGCTGTCTGATTGCTCAACTGCCGACCGATTCCAGATGCTGCTGCTGATAAGCCCCTCAGGGTAATGCAGCTGGCTCAGAAGACATGGCTCTGCATGGCAATTGTTAGGCTTCCTTGAAAATGAGGTGTGTGTGTGTGTGTATGTGTGTGTGTATATATATATATATAATTTAGAGTTTGCTATAGGGCACATGCGCTCACCAGAAAGAGAGACAGAAAGTGAGAAATCACCCCTCAGAAGGGATGGCCATGCTGCAATTCCTTCTCCTCCACTCTCTTTCAGGATCTTGGGCATGCACGCACATGCGCCCAGTGTGTTTAAGCCACCAGGTCCGGGACTCAAACCATGGTCAACCACATGAGAATCCAGTGACGTAGCCATTACGCCATCTGCTGGTCCCAAAAATCAGACCACATTGAATAGGGGCTGCGAACTGAGCACAGACTACTCCTGGTTTGGTGAGACATTGACCTCACCTCTTTCAATAACTTGTATCTTGTGCATTTTATGGTTATTAGAAATGACAACTCCCCCAAAGTCTGCCCTGTACCCATCCTGATCTAAGTTAGGTCCTGTCTGCCCCTCTGGCCATGTGGGAACTATACAGAGGTGCTGGGCCACACTCTCTTGTCACACACAGAGATTCTCTCAAATAAGTGATTCCTTACTCAGTGATTCCTTATTCTTGCCAGAGTATAGTTTTGCAGATCAAAAGAGCTTTAGAATTCTTTGCTTTGTATGTGTCTTGAATTCTCACCCTTTGAATTTAGCTACATATCTTCATTTCATGGTGTGACGAGTGTAAGCACCAAGGGAGGAGAAACAAGCTTTTCTTCATGAAGATTGAGAAGTGTAAAGAAGGCACTCACCCCTCATTATAGGCTAAACCCCAGCAACCCCTGGAAAGACAGCCTCTCCTCAGGGGAAAAAGTCCACATCTTAAGGAAACACTATCCTTGGACTTTTAATCCTCTCAATTCACCAGCCACATCCATCTCACTGCCCAGAACCCCTGGACCCTCAGTTGGCCTGTAATAGAGCCACCTTACTGAGGGGCCACTGCTGGAGAGGCAGGCAGCTTTGGCCCAGCACCTCCACCACTGGCCCAGGGACAGGGGTATTGACATGGCAGGGTTTGCCTGGCTCCTGTATGCAAGGAGCCCCTACATGTGTGGCAGCTGAAAAGGTGATTTGTAGGAAGAAGCCCCTTTGGCTGTTCCTCACTCCTTTTCTACTCTAGCTTCCTTTTATTCCTCCCTCTCTAGGAAAGACTGTCCTCAGAGAAGGGCTCAGCACCAAGCCTCCCACTCACTGGCCGTTGTGACTGAGCACAGCCTGAGGGCTAAAAGAGTCAAGGCCTTAGGCTGGAGGGGCAACTACTTGATGGAAGAATTTTAGGCACTGTTAAGAATCCAGAGTGGTTTGTGGGTAGGGAGCTTGGGAAGGGGCTGGCAAGAACACAGGGAAGATTGATTTGGGGCCAAAAGTCCAACTTGCTGAGTAGCTGCTCAGGTGGTTCACCTCTGGCATTTAAGGGGCATGGCTAAGCCTCTTGAGATTGGTTGAGGTTATATTTTCCACCCTACCTTCATTATAAACCAACCTCCTTTCCATCTTGGGTTCTCCCTACCAGTGGTCATGAAGCCCTCAGTTGGTTAGTTTTATTAATGGGCCTGCAGCAACCTGGGCAGTGCTTTCCCTATCAGGGCAGCCTTGACCAAATCTTAATAACGTTTCACTTACACTGAGCTCAGCTTCCCCCATTGGCCCTAGTTCTGCTCACCATAACTAATTCTTTAATTTCCAACAGTCTAACCCTGTTAGATGCCTCCAATGTCTCCTCTCCCCATCCTCTCACAACAAGCTACCATGTCCTCTCTTCTCTAGGCCCAGAGTACTCATCACTGGAATACTACTCATCAAGGAAAATGAACAAATCACAGCCATACTCAACAGCTCAGAGATATCTGAAAAAAAAAAAAAAAAACCTGAGGTCATCTTTGAAGTCTCTGCCAACCAAAGTGATGGTGGCTGGCTGCCTTGCTGTAGCAAGATCTAAGTAAATAGCTTCTGTTATCACTTGATCTTCAGTTATTTCTATAACCTTCTCAGTTGAAATCCCTATTCTTCTAGTTGTATGACAGTGGGGAAGTTACTTTACCTTCCTGGGCTCCATCAACCTCATTTGTAAAATGGAGATGATAACAGTGCACAATAATAGACGTGTTGCGAGTTGATGTGTCAGAAAGCCCTTGCAATGGTGCCTGGCCTGGAGTAAGTGTTCAACGTATTAGCCATTGTTATCATCACCACTGCTAGTTGATCTGGGAAAAATTCCAGGAGGAGATGGAAGCTGCATAATGAGAGAGCAGAAGTGCTAAGAGGGGGCAGGTAAAACTGTCCTTATTAGATCTCTAGGACTGAGCTGTGTATGATGGACAAAATTCCTCCCCTCACGCGTTGCTCTATATCCATGGGAAGAAAGCCATGCCACCAAGATCTTTGGTAACCTCATGCCCATCATCACCTTCATCACCACCATCATCTTTCTCATCATTGTTATCACCACCACTGTCCAGATTATTCAACCTGCATCTTCCACGTGCAAGGCCAGAGGCTAGGAGCTGTGAGGAATTCAGAAAGGAAACCCTCCTGGACCCGCCCTCCAGCTGGGGAAGGGGCACTGTGGGCTCAGAGACAAGTGACTGTGGTGGGTTTTAAGAATCCTAGGCTTATGTTCTGAATCTCTCTTCCCTGGTCTTTAGGATATTAAGGATTGGAAGTGTTTGGGGGTCAACAACTGAAAACAAAAAATCAGTCAAAACTCAGGATCATCTAAACTGGGGGTCCAATGAAAGGCACATTAAGAAGTATAGTAGGAGGTCTTCTTTAAAGTCATTACTAACCACTATCTTAAGAGGCTATGGAGGAGCCAACAGATGGTGTGGTGGTAAAAGTGCTGGAGTCTTACGTAGCTGACCATGGTTCAAGTCCTGGACCTAGTGACTTGCTTTGTCATTTTCCCTTTCTCTCTCTTTACTGAGTACATGTGTCCTATAGCAAATTACAAATGTAATAATAATAATAGTAAATAATAATAATATATTTTTTTTAAAAAGATGGAAACAAATGTTTGGGTCGGAGGACCACCTTGGTACATCTCCCAGAGCCACTGCTTACTTGCTGTGGAGCCCTGAGCCATACTTCACCTTTTGGTGTTTCTATTTCCCCACCAGTAAAATGGAAATGATAATAAAAGTCCTTATAGGGTTGTGAAAAGGACTAGGAGTCAATTCATGGCTCAGAACAACAGCTGGCAAGGAGAAGGTAAGGGTCAGGGACCACCTCTGAATACCTGGCCTTCTTTTTGTCCAGCTGCACCTCCTCTGTGCTCCCGTTGATGCCGTAAAGGGTCATAAAGATGTTGGAGTCTGTGCCCCCGCCGACCACATCACCTGTCCACACGGTCATTTCATAAAGCACCTGCCATGAGAGGAATGCAGATCCTGAGCTTTGGCCTCATCCACCAACCCGCCAGACCCGTCTTGGTCTCAGCAAGGAAAGAAGCTATGCTCACCAAGCTTCCTGGCTCTGAAAAGACACCCTACCCAATCAATTGTAAATGTCTGAAGAGCTAGAGTCAGGCCTTCTCACTCCTGAATTCCCCGTGTCCAGTCCAATGCTAGAGAGAGCATTCGCTGTGAGAGAATGTGTCGTACAATAGAAACATTACGGAAGACCCAAGTGTTAGCCTATTCTCTGTCAGTCAGATCCCACCCAAAGTCCATCCAGTTTTCTGCATGGTAGCAGAAAAGTGACTTTGAGAGTCACCTAGAGCTTGCTGTATGTCCTGCCAGCTGTTGAATAGGGGAGATTCCCTCCCTTACTAGCCTCTGCTTCCCTGGGCTAAAATAGGGACAAACTCCTTTGCAGAACCATGAGAGCTACAGACAATTCGCACTGGTGCTCAGGACTGGGCCTGCCATGTGTGGCGTCAGGATTCTCATAAGGACAACTGCCATTTGACTCCTGGACCCAGTGGCTTGAAAATCATACTGGGCACATGTGCGTGGGAACCAAAATCCTGAGAGGAGAAGGGAGGAGAAAGGATTGCTGCATGGCCATTCCCTCTGGGGGATTGTTTTTCACTTCCCCTCTTGTCTCTGCCTCTGTCTCTCTCTGGCAAGCACATGCGCCTTATAGCAAAACCTAAAAATAAGTTACTTAATCAATTAAATTAAATTTAAAAAATATGCATCAGCAGTTCTGGGTCTCCATCCCCATTCATGGTGCAGCCAGCACACACCCCTGAGGTCTGCAAATGAGGGGTACTGTTTGGAACAACGTTTAAGGAAGCTCCATCTCCATCCACTTGTGAAGTGGGTGATTGTCTATTTATCCGATCTTTGCTTTAGATTAGGATTTTGTCATTTTGCCTGAGATGTGAGCCAATGAGGATGCATTTCTCCCCTGGAGAGTCAGAGCACAGACTGCTCCTCCCTGGGCGTGCCTTCACTGCCCTGCCTTAGTTCTTCCTCTGAGAGGCAGCCTTGTGGCAAGAGGCATCACCTGCACTGATGATCTGGCTGGACTCTGGTTCTGGATCCTTACTCCAGCCACTCCTTGTGGGTGCCCATGGCCTAACCATGAGGTCTAAAGCTTCTGGAGAGGCTCAGACATGCAGCCAGGAAAGGCCAGGCTAACCATCTTCTTGGAACATACCTGACCCTTCCCCTTCCCTGTGGTTGTCACTGTCCATATCACCTCTGCAGGTACCTGGTTCCCCTCCCCAGAAGCCTTGGAACTCAGATCCCAGGTTGTTCTCCACAATGGTCATGGCCCTGCCACGGTGGGTGCTGGTGCTTTTCCAGCATCTAGAATATTTGCCGGGACACTGCAGGGTTAGAAGTATTATGTGCAGGCCTGGCCTGTGGGAGTTTGGGATGTTTGCAGAGAGAATGGATGAAGAGCCTCCTGCTTCACCAGGAACCACACCCCGCCACACAAACAAACACATACATACGCACGCACACACATACACACATGCACACACACACCAGACCACCCAGCAAGGGCATTCATGATGGGCAGGAGAAGCTATTGGGAACAAAAGCAGCCTGACACCCTTTTGCTCTTATCCAGACAGACATGAAAAATATAATGATCAAAATGAGAGCTTCAGCGGCCCCATGGAGACCAGCCCCTGAGGGCTGGTCCCTCCAACTTCTGTGTTCTCTGTGTCCACATTTCTCTTCTTTACACAGACACATCTCTTTTTATGTAATAGGTGTGTTTCCAAAAAGAGACAGAGTAGGGCTCTTGTCATTCTAGCCTGGTATCAGGTGTCCTAGGGAGATGGTCAATCCAAAGAAGCCTGTGGTTCTTTGTGAAGTGACAAATCTGTGTTCTTTTGTACCATGAATAACAGAGGTGTGGGTCTGGATCTTCCTGGACTAAAGAGCTCAAGGGGAGACGCAGCCACATTGTGTGGGGTGTGCATATGTGCTGGGGGTTGGTGTACACACAGGCACACACAGACACACAGGCACATAGAGACACACACAGGCACACACACACACAGACACACAGGTACACACACAGGCACATAGGTACACACACACAGGTTCACACAGAGACCTAGGCACACACACACATAGACACAGGCACCTACACAGGCAAACAGAAAGGTGCATGCACAGACACACAGGTACATGCACACACAGACACATACAGGTGCACACACAGGCACATAGGTACACATACACAGGCACACACAGAGATCCAGGCACACACACATAGACACAGGCACCTACACAGGCGCACGCACATACAGACACACACAGGCATACATAGGCTGGGAACCGGGTCATGTGGAAGCCTGGAGGAATTGTGTGCTCACCCACACTGTCCGTCCGACCACAGATGGTGATGTCTAGGAAGGGGGAGGATGTCTGTGCTGTAGAAAGTTCTGCTCTCCAGTTCTTCTGCAGTGAGGGACCAGCCTGTCAAGGTTTTTAGAGCCTAGAACTCAGTCTGTCCTGTTTCCATGTGTAATACAATCAGGGCAACCAAGAGGCAGGTGATTTCTTCTCACATTTGTGGGATAGCTTCTGGCCTACATCAAACAACCCATTGCTTGGATTCAGAGGCAGAGACAAGGGCTGGGGCCTCTCCTGTTGACCCCACAGCTTATGAGAAAGCAAAAGAAGCCTGCTGGGTCAGGTAAAACAGAGGCCTCTGGCTGTGTGTCCTTGGGCATCCCACCACCCACCCCACCACAAGCTGAATTTATACCTGTCTCAGGCTATTTGGCCAGTTCATGGTGGAGCAAGAACAGAAACTCAGGGCTCCTGCCTTCCAAGCTTTGCCAGTTAAGGAAGGTTTTGTCATAGGTAAATAGCCAGACGTGAGCGGGCAGTCCTGAGAGAATGGCAGGACATTTACCTCATCAATCATGGCTTATCAGGGGGTATAACTGAACTCCCTCGCACGAGCTCTTCCCCCTCCCAGCTCCTGGCACTGGGAAAGGGAAGCTGATCTCATTTTAAAATTTCTTTATTACCTAAGCTTTCTTCAAAGAGCTCAGAGAAAGTGATTATCTTCCCTCCTGCCGTTCCACATATGCACACAGGAATGCACTGGGATGCTTGGTCAATATCCTATTTCCCACCAGGAGCAATAAACTGATACTGGGCAGAATCACTTCTATGCAGATGATCATACCTTCAAAGTCCACACCGGGAATGCCTATCTGGCAAGCAAATTCCCTTACCTGATGAGAGGTCACAAGCTCAGTTAAAAGCTTCCGAATTCAAACAAAAGGGCGTACGACAATGACAGACCTGCCCTCCTAAATATTCATGATGAGATCCCACAATAAAAGCAACATCCAATCCCATTCCCGGTGCAGCTGTCCTCTAACACTCACATGCCCGCTCATATACCTTTCTGGAGTGCATCGTACTCACTTTCTGTCAAAAACTCTTCACTTTTCCATTAAAAACTTCTCTTTTCCTACTTAACTCAAAATTGGTGGCTTCATTCTGCATATCAGGGCAGGCTTCCAACCTCAGAAGCCTGGACCCAAAGAACCAAGTATTAAACACAGTGAAGCCCAGCTTGACCATTCATACCTGTCTCTGCGCTGTGAGACTCAGAGGCCCTAAGAGCCCCAATGTTATTTTTCCCCATCATCTTTCTACTGGACGTGATGAAAGAGCCTTTGGAGAATAACAATCCTGCAGGTCTATGTAGCGCTGCTACCTGTTGAGCTCATGACCGTTCATGATCTCATTAGTTCTCACCAAGACTTTACATGGAACAGGACAGGAAGTGTTATTTCCCTGTGGTTTATGAGAAGATCAAGGCTCAGAAAGGCCAGGTGACTTACCCAAGCTCACATAGCAGTGGACCAGAAGCAAGTTCAGTCTCCTGGCAACCAGCAAAGTGATTCCAAATAGTATACCAGGTTGCAACCTCTTCCAATAACCTCGTGATGAGTCTCCTATTTCCCTTGCTTCCATCTCCCCAGCTGTCCCCCACTTCGAACACATTGTCCTTGCCCTACAATTCATTCAAAACACCCCTGATACCTTCACCCCAATGTTCACCACCATGGCATCCAGGAGGTCGAAGACCCGGGAGGTAACACCGTCACCGCGGTCCTTGGCAAGCCAGCAGTTGCAGCGCAGTGTGTACTTGGTGCCCTGGGTGGGCACTGCTAAACACAGCTCCTCCACCAGCCAGCAGCTCTCAGGGGAGGCTCCATCATGGCCCAGCTAGGAGGGGATACATCAGACCCATGAGGTTTTGGGCACTGCCTGGAAGGAAGCCCTCCCCTCTGCATCCCCTCATCCTGTGCTGTATCCAAACCCTTGTCCCACCTCCCTACTCCCTCTTGCTGTGCTGTGCTTTCATTGGTCCAAGTCCCTCCCATGGAGTGAAGAGATCTTGCAGACATAATTAATGTCTGCAAACAGTTAACTTGGAGTTAATCAAATAACTATTCTGGATAGGCCTGGGCTAATCAGGTGGGCTCTTTAAAAGAGGGTCTATATGTGAGAGATGGCAAAGGTCAGAGATATGAAGCAGATGAGATCATCTCCTATTGGAAAGCAATGTTTTAGATTGTTTCCTATTTTAGAGAGGGCTGCATGTCAGGGAAAGACAGGCAACCTCTGAGAACTGACAGCCTCAGGCCCATGATCCCATGAAAATGGCTTCTGCAAACTGCTAGTGGGCTTGAAAGAGAACCCTAAGCCTCAGATGAGATCCCAGCCCTGGATGCAACTTGATATCCATCCAGTGAGACTTAAGAATGGACCCAGCTAGCTCCCATCTGGACTCATGACTCACTGTGAGATTTCACGTTTGTGCTGTGTAGTAATTTGTTACACAGCAATAGAAAATACACAGGGCATCCCCAGTGAGTGGGTATAAAATAGAGACCCAGAGGGGCAGACTTCATCCAAGGTCATCCAGCTAGTTGCTGGTAGAGGCTGGGGATCTTCCTCTGTTCCCTGCTCTGAAGGGAGCTCTAGGCCGGTTGCTCTTCCTGCCCTCCACTGGCCTATGTACTGGTCAGCAACTTCCTTCCTTGGGGGTGATCAGCATCACAGGGCCCCGAGGAGTCATCACCTCTATCTTCTTGATGATGCC